CCCCCCCCGCCCCCCGGCAAGACCCCCCCCCCCCGGAGCTGTCCAGGCCCCCCCCCCCCCCCCCCCCCGCGTGCCACACCCACAGCAACACAGACTCCCACCACACACCTCAGACACCTGCACACCCAGCCACACCCACAGCTCATCAGTCACACCCCTGCACGCCCGACCTCCTGCTCACACACGTCCAGGCACACACACGCCATCACTCCCGAGACAGTTCCATCGTCCTCCACACCTCCTGCCTCCACAGACCCCCACACGGCCTGGTGTGTGCCCACCCTCACTGGCACCCACCACACACCAGCTCACACACATAGGCGTGTGCTCAGACCCCCCACCTTCACAGGCTTGTGTGGACAAACGCTCCCACACTCACACCCGTGGGCTCACACAACCCCTGCAGGCACACACTGGCACACACATCCTCTCAGGCGCACATGGGGGTCTAGACACACCAGTGAGCAAGAAGTAAGCACCTTGGCCTCTGGGGAGACAGGAGGGAAGACAATGGGGAAAGGAGGGAGGGACACAAGGGATAGGGCCCAGGGGTCCACTCACCCCCCACTCAGGACTGACATGGGTGGGAATGGGTACTGCTGGGGCCACATGGCAGATGCATGGCAGGGGTCGGGGCGGCAGGTGGGACCCTGAAGGGTGGATGTGGACAGGGCTTCTCTTTCTCCTGAGAGAGAGTGACCATTCCCCAGAGCACAGCTCCGTGGCAGGGAGTCTCCGTGGCCCCTGCCCCTGTGCCCCTTCACCCCCAGCTCCACCCCGGCCCCCAGCCCCTCCCCGGGCCTCGGTGTTTGCGAGCTCCAGGTATGTGCCCGTCTGCAGACGTGCCGAGGAGGTGGTGTGATTGCTTTAGCGCCGTCATTTTCAACCGTTTATAATCTTCTTCTGTGTCTGCATATTTTCTCTGTGCACATTATTCATCAGAGTAAAAAAAGGAACTATGAAAACCTCGACCAACTGTCCTATGACAACAAGCGCGGACCCAAGGTATATATGCATGGACGTGCACGCCACCCACCGACTAGGGAGCCCCGGCCTCCGGCGCCTCGGCCACTAGGGCTGCTGTCTGGCCCAGCCACGCCGAGCCGCAGGCCCAAGCAGTTAGGAGAGCCAGGTCATGAGGCAGGCAGCAGGCAGGAGAGGGCAGGCGTGGCCAGTGTGGGTGCCTGCGGCCCACCCGCTGTGACCCCAGCCTGTGCCCTCGAGGCAGGCACTGCCGCAGGAGGAGCTGCTCTCCGGGAAGTGCATGCGAATCTCCAGGACCCCAGGGTTTCCTCGTGGAACCCAGGAGGGAGCCCGCCCACCTGGCTGCCCACCAGCCCGGGTCCAGGCAGCTCCTGCAGGGGCCTGTGGAATCAGGCCTGAGAGGATCTCCCATGGTTTTGGAAGTTGGCCCCACCTCTGTTCCCGGTTGCATTCCGAAACTCTTTTCTGTTTCCTGTCTGCTGCACGCCTCTTTCTGAGTCTCGGGCCACTTCAGCTTGCATGCTCAGTGCAAAAATGAGGACAGGCGTGAGGAGCAAAGAGAGCACAGAGAAAGCAGAGAGTGCGTGCAGGAACTGGAGCAAGCTGAAGAAAGGACAAGAGAGGCCAGGCCAGGCCAGGAGCAATGAGGCAGGTGGACAGTGCAGGTGGCAGGCACAGGCCATGGCAGCCTTAGCTAAGCTGCCTAGGGGTTCCTAGCTGCTGCGGCCCAACTCTCGCCCCTGAGGCGCTATGTCCCTTGTCCCAGCCACCTGCTAACACTCCTGCTCACACCACAGGCTGAGAAGGTGCTGCAGTTCGACCCAGGAACCAAGAATGTGACGGCCCTGCTGATGGAGGCGCGAGAACTGGAGGCCCGGGTCATCATCCTCTCCGCTAGGTAAAGCTGGGCCAGGCCCCTCCCCACATCACCCAGGGCTGGGCTTGGGCCACGAACCCACCATCTGGGCCAGGGCTGGGGCATTTCGGCAAAGTGAGCTTCAGCTTCCAAAACACCTTCAGCAAGGAAGGCCCCCCCACACACCCCCACCCCCACACGCCCAGTGACCTGGCTAGTGTGACAGCCTCTTTCTACCCTCTCTGCCTGGACCCTTCCCCCTTCCACAGTCACTGGCTGCCTCTTGCCCTGAGCAAGACTTTGGGGGTGGGAGATGGATAAGACCCTGCCCTTAGAAGCCCCAGGACTCAAGGAGGCACAACTATGCAAATACTGCCCAGGATTGGGATCAGGGATGGGGGCATGGGAAGTGACAAGCAGGTGTGCAGATGAGCCCAAGTGGCAAGGCAGGGCGAGGGCCAGACCTATTGACTGTAGGATCAGAGCAGCTGGAGCAGGTGGCTCCAGAGGGGAAACCACTTAGGGTCCCTTGAAATTCAGATGGCCCCTGGGCAGGGCCTGTCCCCCACACCGAAACCTCAGGGATGAGCCCACAGTAAAAATCTCCCTATTTGCAAATGGCGAAATTCTCCTGAGAAGGGAGAGTCTAGGCCCCACCGAACAGGAAGAGGAAGGGAGCCCCGCCCCACGGGAGGCCCTGGGTGGACCCTAACCTGACCTGTTAGGAGCTCTGCGGGGCTCCCACAGAGTGGAGAAAAACAGCCAAGTCGCCGCAACCCAAACCTGCTGCCCTGCAGGTGGGAAAGACAGGCGTCCCTTTGCACATTCAGTCATCACACCCCCGGGTATGAGCCAGATGCACTCCTTCCCCCGGGCAGAGCGCAGGGTGGGTCAACCAGGGCTCTTCTGGCTGGAAGGCGGGAATCTCCCCAACCCTACCTACTGCCCCACTCCAATGCCTGCGGGCCTCTACTGCTCCTCCAGTAGCCGTGACAAGAAGGCGACAATCACCCCCACCGCAGCCCAACCCCCATTTTACAGTAGTGGACCCTGTCCATGCCACTCATCCAACTGTGGGCAACTCGGGGAGGGAGGCCAGGTTTCCTCAGAAAGGATTAAAGATGTGCACTAGCAAGGACGGGGCTGCACAAACCCCGCCCACAGCAAGCTCCACCTACAGCAAGCTGGGGAGGGGGAGCCTCACCCAGGGAAAGCCCCGCCCGAGGAAGGACCTGCCCAGAGCAAGCCCCGCCCAGGAAAAGCTCCACTCAGGAAAGCCCCTCCCAGAGCAAGCCCCGCCCAGGAAAATCTCCACTCAGGAAAGCCCCTCCCAGAGCAAGCCCCGCCCAGGAAAGGTCCTCCCAGAGCAAGCCCCGCCCAGGAAAAGCTCCACTCAGGAAAGCCCCTCCCAGAGCAAGCCCCGCCCAGGAAAAGCTCCACTCAGGAAAGCCCCGCCCAGGAAAAGCTCCTCCCAGAGCAAGCCCCACCCAGGGAAAGCTCCACTCAGGAAAGCCCCTCCCAGAGCAAGCCCCGCCCAGGAAAAGCCCTGCTCAGGAAAGCTCCTCCCAGAGCAAACCGTGCCCGCCAGACCCTCTTCTATTTTCTGATTCGTTTACACTTCCCTCACTCATAGGGCTTGAGGGCGATTCGGTGGTTGTGGTAGGATAAGAGGATGGATAGGCGGGTGGACCAATGGACAGACAGCTGGCTAGTGCGCAGAAGACTCTTTCATCCAGGGTTGGCCAACTCAAGGAACCCATTACCCCAAACATACTTATTTAACTGTTGGGTACTTCTGCAATGGACAAGCAGGACACAGGCCAGAAAATCACATGTAAAACCAATCCAAGGAATCCCACAACGCCCAAGTCCCAGAAGAGGGTGGGTACTTTCTCCACTGTTTTCTCTCTGGCCATTGAGTGCACATGCCACACACTGCAGCCATGGGGAATCCCCGAGACAAGACCAAGAGGGGCCTACCTTGTGTTGCCAGCCCCCAGGATCAAAGACAGGTTTTCCAGACATGGCTCCAAGAAAAAAAGGCCAGCCCAGAGAGGGGGACACAGTAATAGCAGACAGATGCACACACATGCACATGAACTATGTGCATGCCACACACCCACACACATGAGCACACGTCACATAACGCCACATGTGCACACACTTGCTCACACTGTATACACACCACACATGTACAAACGTGCACGCACACACCGGCACAGGCACACATACCACACATGCATACACAAACACCATGCATACACATATACAGTCACCCGCAGACATATGCCCACCTACATATACGTACATACACACCACACGCAAACATATATCACACCAGTACACATATGGACACAGGTACGGATGTGTGTGTGGACACACTACGTACACACCACAGGCTACATATGTAACAAACCCCAAACATATGCATGCACTGCACACAAACACACAGCACATAATATCAACCATACGTCTGGCAGCACCTCTCTTGATGAATCTATGCAAGGCCCCTGCACCATCAGGGCTGGAAGGGACCCCTCCCCTCAACTCTGGGCTTCTTGGAGCAGAGAGGCCAAAGTCCCACAGCAGAGGGCAGACCGGCCCACTCCACACACCCAGTTTCTGACAGCACAGGGAGGCAAGACCCCAGGGCGGCAGCAGACACAGGCCTTGACGCTGGCACCTCAACCTGTCACATTTCGGCTCCTCCTTCACGAAGGTTGTTGAGAATATTTTTCAGAAAGACCCCATTAAGCCAAACTTAACTTCTGAATAATTTTCTATAGAGTACAAAGAATTCACTTCCAAAACTTTTTATTGTTATGTTTCTGAAATTGTTTTTATTGGTATTGGCTATTTCCATAAAATGACCTGATGAGGTTTGATGGATTGACCAGGTTTTTGTCTACAACTGTTTTACTAATCATAATCATTCCATCAAGTCACATGTCATCAACCTGAATTGTAGAAAGAAGACGGGTTTCTCTGTCTGGTTTTGATGGGCACAATTGCCAGCTGGTATTCTGTGTCTGGACATGCATGGTCTTGGGTTTTGCTGGGCGATCTTTACCATATTCAGTGTGTTGTGACAGTTCACATTCAGTGTGTGATCTAGGGCCATATGGGGACAGGTCAGGACCTGCAGGGAAGGATCTGATAGATGGGGGCTAGGGGAGGACCCAACAGGTTCTGGGAGCCCCAACAAGCCCCAGAGTCCTTGTCATGACCAGGGAGACCCCAGCCCCAGGGACCAGGTCCCCTGCTTCACTGTCCACAGGGGCTCACCTGTGAGAACACCCCAAGAACTCAGGACCACAAGTGCCCGCAAAGTGCTCTGTTGATACCAAGGAAGGCAGGGATGGAGCTGCTGGCACCAACTCCAGAAGGGAGAGCAACCCCTTGTGTCTCTGGCTGCTTCTGCTGCGATGCTCAAGGCAGCTCCTAGGGCACTGTGTCCCACCAGCATCTCATCAACCCGGAGAGTCCCCCAACCCCTCATTTCACACTTTTCAACATGGAGGACCAGAGGGGTGTGGCTTGTCCATAGGTCACAGGAGCACAGGCTCTGGGGTGGACTGTCCAGGCACAGAGCTGACTCTGCCACTTACAGCTGTGTGTCCCGCGTGCCTCAGTTTCCCCTCCTGACACAGGGATAGTACTAATGCCTGCCCCATAGGGATGTCGTGAGAATTACATAAGGTAATCCATGCAAGGACTCAAAACAGTGCCTGGTACCTGGTGAGCAAGTGATCGATAAATAACGATCCATCACCATCCTGGGTCACTTGAGGAGGGGCCTCCTGAGAGAGAGGAAAGGGCGCGCCTGGGAGCACAGTCGGAAGGGCCGAGCAGGAAGTCAGTCCTGTCAGTCGGATGTCAAACCCGATTCCTGCCCCGCAAAGTCAGGGGCCAGCAGCAGAGGCCTGCGAGGCTCCTGGGTCTGGGCCCCGGCGCCTCTGTGGGGTCTCCTGGGCCTGAAGCAGGCTGGGGGTACAGTCTGGGTGCGGTTCCCTCCGCCAGGTCGCTGGGCCCAGGCAGTGCTGGGCGAGGCCTCCGCGGGGTGTCCAGGCCTTGCTCCAGGAGGGGCTGGGGGAGGGAAGCGGCCGCGGTGGGGGCGGCTGGAGTCCTGGCCCGTCACCCCCGTCTGCCCCACAGCGAGGACGATGCGGCCACCGTGTACCGCGCAGCCGCGATGCTGAACATGACGGGCTCGGGGTACGTGTGGCTGGTGGGGGAGCGCGAGATCTCGGGGAACGCCCTGCGCTACGCCCCGGACGGTGAGTGCTGGGCCTCGGCGGGTCCCGGGAGGGGGGCGGCCGCGGGCTCTAAGCCGGACTCTCGCCGCAGGCATCATCGGGCTGCAGCTCATCAACGGCAAGAACGAGTCCGCCCACATCAGCGACGCCGTGGGCGTGGTGGCCCAGGCGGTGCACGAGCTCCTGGAGAAGGAGAACATCACAGACCCGCCGCGGGGCTGCGTGGGCAACACCAACATCTGGAAGACGGGGCCGCTCTTCAAGAGGTGGGCGGGGCCGCGCTCGGGTGGTGGGCGGGGCCGCTTTCCGAAAGATGGACTCTTTTTTTTTTTTAGCTGAATTCTTTTTTATTTATTTATTTATTTTTCTTCTTAATTTTATTTTGCCAATATACAATGTGGGTGATTATTGTGGCCCATCACCGAAACCTCCCTCCCACCTCCCTCTCCCCCCTCCCTTCCAACAATGTCCTTTCTGTTTGCTGGTCGTATCAACTTCAAGGAATTGTAGTTGTTATGACTCTTTAAGAGGTGGGCGTCCCTGTTGCTCAGGGGTGGTCCAGCGACGTCTGCTGCCAACATCTTATGGACACAGTCACCTACCCCACTGCCATTCTGTCCCCCCACCTCCCCAGCACCATCATCTCTATCTCCACTGTGACAATCGTCTCCCTTTTCCCGGCACTGACACCAATACCTCGACTGTCACTGAAGTCCTTACTGCCTCCACTGCTCCCGCCCCCACCTTTCCACACTGCAGCCCACCCTGCGACTGTACGCCACTCCCCCCAGTGGCTGGCAGTCTTTGGGACTTGCTGCAGGTGGGACTGGGAGCTTCCAGGGACCCAGGAGGTCAGACAAGGAGCCCAGGGACAGCACTTGAGCCTGTAGAGAGCCCTGCCTGGCCAAGGCTCAGACCCTCAAGTGAAAGGCTGCGGGCGGGCAGGAGTTAGCTCACAGCACCCCTGGATATCATGCCATCAGGGGTGGGGCAGGTTCAGCCCATCTCCAGGGTCCCCCAACCACCATGTAGCATGTGCAGAGCCACTGTTCATGGTGCCCACGACAGGTGCACGCACATAACTGCAGATGTAGGCAGCACATATGCACACACATACAGACACTTGCACAGACTCATGTGTACACACAGACTCAGAGAGGCACGTGACATGCACGTGTGCCACAAGTACATGTATAGGGGTGCACCCAACATAGGGATCACACGTGCACACAGGTTCACTGACATGGCCCGATGGATACAATACACACAAGCGTGTGCACGCACAGCCTGATAGGATAACCTGATGGTTAGAGGCAGGCGCCAGGCTCAACCTGCCTCCCCCACTCACTGTCAAATAGGACAGGCATCCTCCTGGGCTTCTGCCTCCTTCTTTGTAAAAACAGGATGGCTGCTGTGAGGATCAAACCTCCTAACCCATGGAAAGCCCTCAGAACAGAGTCTGGCACCCAGGAGTCACTCAACGTCACTAGCTGTGCTGTCCATCTGGTGTGGGCAGATACCCACACCATCCATCAGATTCAGAATAAGGGCCTGACATCTGCTCGTCTTTCTGTTCTTGGGATTGGGGCAGGAGGGGCTCAGGCTGCTCAGGAGGCCGGGGGTAAGGAGCATGCCTGATAACTCTAAACCATGCTGCCCTCCCCCAGAGTGCTGATGTCTTCCAAGTACGCAGACGGGGTGACCGGTCGCGTGGAGTTCAACGAGGATGGGGACCGGAAGTTTGCCAACTACAGCATCATGAACCTGCAGAACCGCAAGCTGGTGCAAGTGGGCATCTACAATGGTACCCATGTAGGTGGGGGTCATGAGGGGGTGGGGGCTGGGGCCTTAGGGTCCTGGGGCCAAGACCCCTGCGTGGCCACCCTCCATCTCATACTCCCACCCCCAGGTCATCCCTAATGACAGGAAGATCATCTGGCCAGGTGGAGAAACAGAGAAGCCTCGAGGGTACCAGATGTCCACCAGACTAAAGGTAGGGAACTCTACCGGCCTGCCCCAGCGTCTCCACCCCAGACACCCCATACACCCAATCAGGCCTGGAGGAAGGGGCAATGAGGATAATGAAAGCAACAAAGGATGCAGGGACAGAGCCCGCCTGCACCTACCTGGCTGTGGTTCCACATACCTGGCACGGCAGAGGAAGCAGAGAGAGCAGGTGGAAGGAGGAGAGGAAGCTGCCACTGTCCCGTACCCCCCCACCCCTCGGGCTCTCTAGTGCCCCTCCTGACCCAACGCAAGTTAGGTGTGAAGAAGTCGTTTGAGATGGGACTTCTCTGGGGAAGATCTGATGCACAGGCAGAGGGACAGACCAGTGGTCATTCTGCGCCCCGGTGCAGACCTCAGCCTCAGCACTCGCTGTCCTAAATCCTGATCCCGCATGCCAGGTGGACCAGCACCCCTCCCCCAGCATTCCTGGCCTCTTGCTGTGACTGGTTCGAACTGTCCTCTTCCACCCTGGCCTACCTACAGCACTCCCCGTGGTGGGACATTCCCTTCTTGACTCCCTCTCTGGACCACTGGGAGCCTCCTACTGCCTGGCTTCCTCCCTCATAGAATCTCTTCCTTGGCCTGACTCATTTCCTCCCAGGTGCTCCCCTGCGAGTTCCTCCCCGAGCCGAGCCACACTGTACCCACTCCAGCCTTGGCCAATGTGGTAAAGACAAGGACCTTAACTGCAGTGTGCCCAACCAACCTTCTCCTGGTGTCCCCAGGTCCTCTAAGGTCTCTTAACCCTGTCTGCTGTCTGAGTCCATCCCTGCAGCCTGGGGCCAGTCCACATGGCCTCCCACCCAGACCCCTTTACCAGTGCCCACCCTTCACTGCAGACAGGGTGACCTTTTCCCATGCCAATGTGGTATCTACCTGCAGCTCAGCCACCTCGGGTTGGAAGCACTGAAAGTAACTGTCAACATGTCAGTGGTCAAAGGATCCCTCCGGGCTGTGGGATGCAGATGGCTGTTTACAGCTTTGTTTCTTTCTTTCTCTTTTTAAAGAAGATGACCAGTAAGGGGATTTTAACCCTTGACTTGGTGGTGTCAGCACCACGCTTTCCCAAGTGAGCTAACCAGCCATCCCTATACAGGATCCGAACCCGTGGCCTTGGTGTTATCAGCACCGCACTCTCCCAAGTGAGCCACGGGCCGGCCCTTACAGCTTTGTTTCTTTCTTTCTCTTTTTAAAGAAAATTACCAGTAAGGGGATTTTAACCCTTGACTTGGTGGTGTCAGCACCACGCTTTCCCAAGTGAGCTAACCAGCCATCCCTATACAGGATCCGAACCCGTGGCCTTGGTGTTATCAGCACCGCACTCTCCCAAGTGAGCCACGGGCCGGCCCTTACAGCTTTGTTTCTGTCCCTACTAAATTTTTAAATATGAGGGCCTCCCACAAGTTCATGGAAATATTTGTATTATGTTTTAATTCCATTTTTCTGTGAGCTTTTGAAGTGCCCTTGTGCTAACATATATCACACAAAGTACAAGCACAGCGAATGTGTAGAACGCAAACGAAGGCCTTTGAGGGCCCCGTCCCGGGATGCAGGGCAAAATGCTGCCTTCAAGGCGGAGGCTGGCCCTGACCACCTCTCTAGGCTCGCTCTCCCCAAGACCCTCCACACCTTCCTGCCGCAGACGTGCAGCCCTTCTCTGGACCCCAGTGCCCTGCTCTCCACCACCCCAGCAGGCACCTCCGCAGCCGTGCACCATCTCAGCCCCCTCTGTCAGTATCTGTTCCCCCACCCCCAGGCGGTGGGCCCCGGAGGGACAGGGAGGGGAGCGAGCCTGAGCACATGCCTGGGTTGCAGAGGCAGGCCACAGCAGAGAGGAGAGCGCCACGGAAAAGAGGAAGGGACGAAAGACAAACGATCAAAGACCCGTGCAGGCCGGAGCCTGTGGGGCTGCTGGGGAGGCTGAGGGCCAGCAGGGCGAGGGCATGTGACAGAGAGGCGCGGTCAGGCGGCCCTGTGGGTCCTGGGTCCTGTGCAGACGCTGGGTGGACTTCAGTGGGCACGCCCCTGTCCTCATGGCACAGCGGGGTTCGGGGGCAGGCTCCGGGCTGGGATGGGGAGTTTCTTGTCCCTGAGGAGTCAGAGAAAGTGCCCAGCACACCCTGGATGTCCACAGGCACCTCTGATGGAGTGACTGATGTGTAAGCCAAGACCCAAGGAAAGGTGGCCAAGAGAAGGGATAGCGCTTCCGGAGGTGTTCCCCACGCGTCAAGGGCGGCACGGGAGGGTCCCGGGAGTCTGCGGGCCCTCCTGAGGGCGGCAGGCAGATGATGTTGACGGTGGCCGAGGAGAAAGCAGACTGACCGCCTGAAGTCCTGTAGGGGGGCTTCAGAGAGGAGCAGTGGCGGGTGGATGGGGGGCCAGGTCAGGGATTTGAAGGGCGCCAGGGGAGGCCAGGCCCTGAGAAGAGTCCAGCGCCCCGAGGTAGCCAAAGGCCGTGGTCCAGGCTGGGTGTCCCCTTCCCCCACAGATCGTGACAATCCACCAGGAGCCCTTCGTGTACGTCAAGCCCACGCTGAGCGACGGGACGTGCAAGGAAGAGTTCACGGTCAATGGCGACCCCGTCAAGAAGGTGATCTGCACTGGGCCCAACGACACATCGCCGGGCAGCCGTGAGTGCCGCATGGGGGCGCGGGGGCAGGACGGAAGCAGGGGCAGCGAGCCTGGAGCCCATCGTTTACCGTGTTCACGCCCCCGGCCCCCAGCACGCCACACAGTCCCTCAGTGCTGCTACGGTTTCTGCATCGACTTGCTTATCAAGCTGGCGCGGACCATGAACTTCACCTATGAGGTGCACCTGGTGGCCGACGGCAAGTTCGGCACGCAGGAGCGGGTACGCAGTGGACGTCTGCGGTGGGGCCTGGGTGGGCGGGGCCTACAG